AAGTTTATAGTAAATTTATATGTTTTTATTATAAATTTTATTATAATTTATCACTCAGTGTGACATATTCCCTGACTGATATGAGACATCCCAAAAGAAATAAGTGAGAATGAAATCAAAAACTATTTAGAATTTTTTGGCTTAGTGACAATTATGGCTTGGCAATATAGCTTTGCTACAAAGGCAGTATATATCAAAATAGTATGCAATATAGAAAGCCGAGAGAGTGCTTTGAGAGAAAGTTGATCGGTTCAGTTAAATCAGAGCAGGACGTACAGAACAACACTAGGCAAATTCAATCATATTGAGCTTGAAGATAGAAATAGATTTAAAAGCATAATTTATAATATTCTGAGAACAGCATATGACAGTTTACTCCTACGTCAATTAAAAAAGTACAAGGTTCAGGCAGTTCATACTCTTGAAAATCAGCATGGTAATCGCAACAAAAAGGCATATATATACTTTAAATCAAAAGAAGACATGGTACAAGCCCAAGGTGCAGACCTGTATTATTTTAATACTAGACTTGAATGGCGAATTCGGGCAGAGAAGTATGAAGGAGGAAGCTATACAAGCAACCGGCTCTACAAAGAAAACTCTATAGCAAGACCTACCAATCAAAAAAAGGAAAAAGAAAGAGAAGAATCTGTAGAGTCTAACATTACGGAAACCAAGAGAAAAAGAGAAGATTTAAGCTTACTAGATGACGAGGAAGGAAAGCCCAAAGTTAATAGATCTTTTAGACATAGAATTATTGGAAATACAATAAAATTGGCAGAGCACAATAGCCAATCGGTAAAGAAAGATTATAAAAAAGAGAACCGGCCACCCAAAACCCAAAGAAAAACAAAACCTATAGACAATTCAGACCCCAATAGCAACAACTCAATTCACAACATGCTGTCAAAAATTTTGGATAGACTCGACAAGCTCGAAAATCAAAAGGGGCCCTTGATAGGCGGCTCCTTAGTGTATTGCTTCTAAAGGCGCCAAAGGCGCATTAAATGATTACTCTGAACCTCAAGAGAATAGAGAAAGAGAGCCAATAGAAGAAGGTCCAGAGAGGAGGCTCCCAAACGTAATAGAGGAGAAAGCTGCAACATATGAACTATTTGGAGTATTAAATATTGGGTTTTATAATATTAATGAGATAAAAAATAACAAAAACAAGCTAAAGGCAGTAATAGATTTTGCAAAAGAAAAGAAATTAGATATTTTGGGTTTAGAGGAAACCAATATCAATAACACAGAAGGCACTTTCGCAATGAGAGATTCAAAGATATATAAAAGTTTTTGGGCAAGCTCTGAAGAGGGCAAAAAAAAAGGATCAGACATAGGAGTGCTGATCAAGAAACATTGGGAACAACATATTACACATATGTCAAGGAACAATCCATACTTTTTAAAGCTCATTCTGGACTTTAAAGGCCTAATAATAATCATAATCTTTCTATACGTGGTCTCAAATGACAGAACAAGACAGGAAAAAATTTTGCATATGCTGAGAGATACTTTAGAAAGACCCAACAGAAAGCCGCAGTGTTTTATAATCCTAGGGGACCTTAATATCATTACACCAGACCTAGCAGATTGCGAAGTGGAAAGTACGAGTTATAAGTCCAAGATAAAGCAACAAATTGTAGCGCTTCTAAAAGAAAAGAATATATACGATATGCAAGATTTGGCTCACACCCCAACCTGGTCAAACAGTAAAGCAGAAACTAGAATAGACTACATATGGGTATCAGATAGATGGAAAAGCGGTATAATTAGTACCAAGGTTGATAATATGGATCTCTGCACTATGAGTGATCACAAATTAATAAGAGCAAGTATTGCTACAGAACTCAAAATAAGGAAAACAGGAGCAGCTAAGAGAAGGCGAGAAAACAGAAAAAGAGTCAACTTAGATCTAAGTAAAGCCTCTAAAAAGGATTGGATCCAGTATAGAAAAAATCTTGAAAAGAAGATTAAAGACCGCTAGAACAAGCGCAAACCCAAAAGTATAGATGAGGAGTGGGATATAATCGAAGAATGTATCAGAGTAGCAGCAAGTGCAAGTCTTCTAAAAAAAGAAAAATTATCAGAAATCCTAAAAATTAGCAAAGAAAGTAACGAAGTACGTGCACTAAGACTGGCGGTAAAAGTATATAACGAAGGCCATCATAAAGCGAAGAAAGGACCACTACAAGATACAGTCAAAGACAATATACTTAGTGCATTAAAGAAGATTGATGCCTTGGTTGGTAATGACATAGAAAATAAAACAGATGTATTAAGCCCGGAGGGCCTTAAAAACTGGACAAAAATTCCGCACAAGGAGTGGCGTAAAAGAATCAGAAGTATTGAAGAAGCAGAGATTAGAGAAAGTATAGAAGAAAGGCATAGTATAATTGTCACCAACCAATGGAAAATGCTTAATAGCCTCTTATATCGACCTCACAGGAAGATCCAAATAGATAGAGTAGTGAAGAAGACAGAAGAAGAAGCAGAACTAATTTACGAGCCAGATGATGTACTAAAAGAGGTCAAAGAATATTTTGAAAAGCAATTCTGCACAAGAAACACAGTATAGTTAGAGACCATGCCAACAAGATGGAAAAACCAATATGCCCCTCGAGAAGATATTGATGAGTCTTGGTATAAAGATACAACAAACAAGATTAGCCTAGCTGAATGGGAGCAGGCTCTGGAGCAGGTCAAGACCAAGTCAGCTCCAGGAAGAACAGGTATCATGTACCCACTAATAAGAAACACTAGCTCTACTACAAGAAAGTTCTTTCTTGACTTTGCTTCCAGGTGTATAGAAGAAGGCACTATGCCAAAAAAGTAGAAACTAGGTATCTTGTACCCAATATCTAAGACAGAAGACTGGTGCTACAATCTAAACAATATGCGGCTGATCTTATTGTTAGAATCATTTCGGAAAACGGTTGTAAGAGTGATCACAAATAGGCTAGCAAAAATTTTAAGTGAAAAAGAGGTATTAAAAGGCAGGAACTTCACAGGCCTTCCAGGAGAGGGCATAGCTGTACCAGTGCATCTCATTAACTGCTTAGTTGAGGAAGCGAAAGAAAAGAAAAAGGAAATATGGCTCTTATTCCAGGATATGAAGAAGGTATTCGACTCTGTAGGGCTTAAAATGCTCACAATCGCACTGCAAAGAATTAAAATCCCAGAGCCATTAACATGTTTCATCATTAACCTCTTCGATAACCGTGAAATGGAAGTCTTAACAAGCCTAGAAACTACTCAAAGATTTGTAGCAGGGGATAAGATTGATCAAGGAGAAGTTATATCTCCTCTCATATAGAGGATATTTTATGACCCTCTGCTAACAGAAATTCAAGAGAATAGAAAGCATGGTTATAAGCTTGAGGTGAACTGGCCAAGCGATCTGAGTAGAAATCACACGCGGTGGCATAGCCTAAGAATCCCTGTAATTGCGTACGCTGATGACACAACTTTCGTAGCATCGAGCAAGAAAGAACTGGAAGAAACAATCAGTATAGTGCAAGAGTTTTACAAAATAAATGATATAGAAATCAATAGCAAGAAATTGGAGCTGCTTATAATAGATGGGAAAAAAATAAAGAAGCCTAGATATATAGAATTTGGTACACCAAGAGCAAAAGTATTCGAAAAGAAGGCAAGCAAGCTGACGAGATTTCTTGGTATTTGGCTATCCAAAAAACATGATCAGTTATATATCAGAAGTATTGCAAAGAAAGAAATACAAGTGATCAGTATGGCAATCTATAAGAAGAACATCTCGCTAGCGCAACTCATCTATATCAACAATAGAGTGCTCATCCCAAGATTGAAGTACCGTTTACAACATTGCATAATTCCAAGAAAGCAATGTGACAAACTTCAAAGCCTCATTTTAAAGCTAATTAAAAATAAATCGGGCTCAGCTAGCACCACGGCAAATGCAATCTTGGCATATAAAAACATAGTTGGCCTTAAAACATTGTGGCAAAATCAGATGGCCCATTATATTACAGAGCTAAGAAAACGTATAAACAAAAACAATGAAATTGGCAAAGCCACGTGGATCAGAATTCAGCAAGCTCAGTTAGATAGTAAAAGTACTTAGTGTATAACAAGTCTAGATGCAATAAGACTAAAGAAGGTTAAGCTCAAACAAAACCTTGCATATAAAATCCCGAGTAAAGCAAAAACATCAATATAAGCATACGATCCAGAGAAAAAGAAGAAAACTTAAGGCTTTCAGAAGCTAAAGCAGAAATCATAAACTTTCTGGATGAGAAATCGATTAAAGGCTTTTTACAAGAAAAAGAAACAGGTATTCTGGTGTTAGAACAGATACTTGACAGTACAGGGCAAAAAATGCTTACTTGGGGCCAAATCAAGAAATGCAAGAGACAAAAAGCAAGGGGGAAGACTCCATTATGGGTTAAAAAGCTAGAGGAAAAAATAATTGAAAACCTGATCAGCAGAGAAATCAAGGCAGAGTTTAAAACCAACGATAAAAAGAGAAAAGAATGGGTACTTCTCAAGGCTGAAAATAAGACACTAATAGGGAAAATCGCAAAAAAAAAGAGAAAGAAAACCATCTTAGTAGAACACTGGGAACACATAGAAGATCCGCAAAAAATAACAGTCAAATTAGTTAAATACAAAGACTGCAAATTTGGCTCATTGAAGCTTTCAGGAGATGAAATTTCTTGTAAGAGAAGGTTAAAGAAAAATAAGATGCAGGAAATTCCTTCAAAGATTGTACGAAAGATATCAACACAAAACCAGATATGGAAATTAGTCACTCCACTTAGCAGTATTGTAGATACATCGCAGTGATTTGAGGAGAGCCTAAATACAACAAGAGGCATACAAGAATCTTCAGTTGCGAACATACCCATTTATCTACTAGAAGAAGAAATCATAAATCAAGCTTTTGAAGACACACAGGCCATAAAGGAGATTAAAGAAATAGCATCTCAGCTAAGAGGAAGAAGGTGCATCACATTCTATACTAACGGCTCATTACTTAACCCAGTAGAAGAACCAGAGAAAAGGAAAATAGGTCTGGGTTGGGTTGCCATTTCAGCATGCCGTTCCAAAATATACAAAAATATAATAGCCAGATTTTGGGATGCAATCAAGGACTGGCTATCGTTCACGAGGGCCAAGTTAGGTGCAATATAGACAGCCCTCCTAGCAGCTCCATACAAGTCAGTAGTCGAGATATTCACTAACAGTACGGCCACAATACAGGTAATCCAAGCAAGCCTAAGCCCAAAAAGAACATATGATGTAGTTAAAAAGAAAAACCAGTGCCTCTTGAAGCAAATTCAGCACACAGTCAAGCTAAAAGAGCTGCAAATTAGATTAGGAAAGGTTAAAGCACACAGTGGAATAAAAGAAAACGATGAAGCAGATATCCTGGTGAAAGAAGGTGCTTTGCATTCTTCACCTATCTCCCCGAGGTGGCCATGGAACAAATGATCAATTTCTGAACTTAAGTGAAAAAACCTAAGAGTAGATGATGCGACAAGAAGCTTCATTATACAACTGACCGCAGTTAATATTAACACAGAGTGGAAAAATTTAAAGAGTATAAACAAGTGGGTAGAAATAGAGCAAGACTCAAATGTAATCGATTGGAGAGAGGTCTGGAACAATATAGGCCAATTTAAAGGTAGCAACTGCAGAAGCTCCGAAGTAAACAAGAAATAGGTGTTCAAAATCAAGTGCCTGAACGATCTCCTCCCTACAATACAAACTTTACACCAAAGAAGAGCGGATATCTACTCAGATGACAAATGCAAAATATGCTAGGAACTAAAAACTGAAACACAAGATCACTTGGCAGAATGCTCAAAACTGTAATGACTATGGAGCATTATCGAGGCGGAGGGAACTATCCTATTTAAAGAAAAGGCCAGGAAAGAAAAAGCAGATTTAAAGGTCCTAGACGTCAAAGAAATAGAAAATACGATCTTTGGAAGTGATATACAGGAAAGATTGGTAACAAGAAGAGAACTAATGAAAGGCCTAATCACGAAGCAAAGAACTGATAGGATTTGCTCAGTCCTGTGGGATTCAACACTAGTTAGCAAGTTTAGCCAAGCAATACTCGACCACATCAGAGACTGCTTTTATAAGCATATTTGGTGTTTTCGCTATAACCCAGTAGCTGAATAGGAAGAAAGACATGGTATTGCAAAGCTAGAGAAGAAAACCAAGAAGAAAAAAAAGAAAGAAGGTGTGACAAATGAGGCAGACAAAGAAAATAGCGACCCACAAAGTTTAGAACATATTGCGAAAAGAAGCAAAGGAGCTAAAAACAAGTGTAAATATGAGGTATTAAAAGAAAGAGAAAAAATAGTTGAAGAGTGGATCGCATGGGGGAATAAACCAGCATGGTCTTCGCTAGCCAAAGTTCATCCAAATATTAAGTGTTACTGACATGGCATACAACGGCCAATTAATGATTGAAGGGGTATCTTTAATTGATACAAAATTCCTAGTAAGTTAGAAATTCTGAGAGAGATAAACAGTTGTTATGGCAGGTCGTATTGGGCAAATAGCCTGGTGAGTCTTTATTAGAATAGAGCGTTATACTATTTTGATGTAATACTTTGTATAATAGTTATATAGTAGTTCATAAAATAAATAAAGGCAGGACCGCTTAATATAAAAAAAAAAAATATTTTGAAATTTTTGAAATATTTTAAGTCCAACAAAGTTGGCTTCAACTAGATTTTTTTCTATCATAATAATGAACCTATTGAAGTAGGTGTAAACGGCGAGTTTGTCACTAGTAAACCAGAAACTTCGCATTATATCAGTTTTAAGGCTCGAATAGAGGCGGGGATATGATTTGGCAATTATCAGAATATTAAGTGTTGTGTCGTTTATTGGGTTTTCCCTAAACAAATTCACTAATACCTGATCTTTGCCCTTACTTTATTTTAGGCGCACAAAAGATAACTTTATGACTATTTTCTATTTTTAACTTTAATGGCTTACTAATATTTCCTTATTTTATTACTTCTTTACTGCTCATGATTTTCATCCTGCTATTTTAAAACCTTGATTTTACCGTTCATACACTTTTCCCTTTTTGGCTATATGAGCTTATCATTCGATTATTTGTTTATTGGGGCACTTTATGCAAGTTTTATGTATTCTTGATTCAGATGCGATTATATGCATCGATCGTTGATCTTTTCGTAGGATTACAGGTCCTAGGTCACGATCCTTAGATCATGTTTCTTTTTATCTCTAACATTTCCTGGCGCTTATCTTATGCGTACCATGCATAAGAATCTTGCTAATTAAATAGACTCTTTTCTTTAGTGCTTTAAGTATAAGATCGTTTGGTGGCTGATTGGTATATAATAATTTTTTTTTTTTTTTTTTTTGTTCAAGCTTGTTTATTCCACGAACATGCCAATCCTCCGGAATCAAATATGCAATTTTCATTATCATACATTTCATTAGGATTACTCATGTTGCCAGATATTTGATAATTATTGAATGCTTTATTTTGTTTGATTTCAATTTAACCTCATTTTGACAGCAGGACTCAAGGTTATGCTATCTATCTGGATTGCGACCTTTAGCAAAGTATAAATATGGTTTGGGTGCTTTTCGTTTGCCTTTAGCAAGCCTTTATTCTCGATTCCATTTTCATAAAAGTTACACGGCCCATCATTGTATTCCATCTTGGCAGGTTTTTGGTAATAAATAAGCGCCTTGTGCATATCCTTTTCGGCTTTGATTCTCTTCTCTACTGATTTTTGATATTGGGTAGAAGCTTTATACTTATCCTTCTCGTGTCCAATTTCGTATTAATAACAATGTTTAGTATTATATAATTCATCAGTTTATTCAAATCGGCAGCTTCTTAATAATGAGTGAACATCTTTTATTTTTCTATTTTGACCTTGGTTCCTTTTTTATAGCAGTGTCCAATAAGGAACATTTCATCTAACGTTTTTATTTCAGTATCATAATCACTCATCTCGACAGATTTTTGATGATAGATAAATGCTTTAAGTTCTTCTACTTCAGTTTCAATTTCCTTTTTGTAGTAGAAACTATGAATACTCGTTTCATCAACACATTTCGTTCCATCAAGCTTATCATAAAATTTTTCCAATCCAACTTTATCTTAATAACTATTCGTTTTAATATTGTTAATATCCAATTTAACATTATCACATGCTATATGTTTATTTTTGTCTATTTTATTTCCATAACAATATTCTAGATCATACATTTCACTTTCTTTTCTAGCAATTGTTGTATCGTTATTAGCTTTGTTATCATCCGATTTAGTGTTACTATTATCTCCGCCACACTTAAAATCTTTGGGATTGCTTATTTCGGAAGATTTCTAGTGACTGATGAATGCTCCAATTTTACGTCGATAACTATATCCTAGATTGTTTGTTGCATTAACTTGTTTCATATTGGCTGATTTTTGATAATTAATATATGCTTTATACTCATCCTTTTCAATTTCAATTCTGTCTTTATATCAGGGATCAATATTATATATTCCATCAACATACTCCATCTTCGAGGATTCCTAATAAGGCATGAATGATTTATGTTTGTCGTTTTCGACTTCGATTTTGGTTTGATTAAAATGCACAAAGTAGCATGTTTCATCAGCATTGTTTGTATCTGCTGATTTTTGATGGTAAGTGAATACTTTACACCTATTCACTTCGGTTTCAATTTCCTTTTGATAGTAATCGGGTGCTTTATTTTTATCCACTTCGAATTCAATTCTGTTTAATGTTGCCCAAGGTCATTGGTTCCATCCTCATCATTATTATATACAAATTCTTCTGACCAATCCAGATAACTATCATCTTTTACCGTTCTATTCTTGCATTCAAGTTCAGTATAATTCATCTCTGCTGTTCTTTGTTGAGTGAATGCCTTATGTTCTTTCTTTTTAATGTTAGTTCCCTTCTGGTAACCATGGTTAAGTTCATACATTTCAACATATTCTAAACTTTCATTCAACTCCAATATGTCCAACAAGAACTCAAGTGCCTGTGGGACTTGTTCTTCGTTGAGATTAAGGTTTCCAAAAACTTTGTCAATGGTTTTCTGAACTTTGACGGCTTGTTCCAATGTGAGTATTGCAAGGAGTGCAGCACATTTTTCTTCCATTGTATATACTTCTGGGCACCTGCTAACATTATGGGTTTTTCTTTCACAATAGATGCAGAAAGTTTCTCTTTGGGAGCTTTTTTGATTTATTTCATCATTTCGAGGGCTCTGTTGGTGTTGTTTCATCTTCATTTGAGTTTCAGCTTGTCTTGATTTTCAATTTGATACTTCTTGGTAGATTTCGATCATTTTTTTTTTTTTTTTTTTTTTTTTTTTTTAGTTTTTTAATTAGTGGTTTATATATTAGAAGTTAAATAGTAGGAAGAAGAGAAAAACTCGTATAAGAAATTTCTACTTTTATAGATTTTAATAATTACTAATGTTGAAAAAATTATCGATCTTATAGCAGTGTTCGTTTTTTTTTTTAGTAACTTTTTAATTTTTAATTTACTACTCAATAATGAGGTAATTGTGACAAAATTCAGTTTGATTCTTAATTTTAGAGTTTAATTAGTGTTTATTTTAGTAACCTTTTAATTTTCAATTTACGACTCAATTATAAGATAATTATGACAACAAAAAAAAAAAATTTAGTTCGATTATTAATTCCAAAGTTTAATTGTCGGCGTTTGTTACTATGACGCTGAATACTCAATTATGTTCTATATTCTGATTAATAGTATTATCCAAACAACATTTCTTGTAAATATTATTTCAACAATGCATTTGAATTTCACAATTACCACCAAATGAAGTAGATGTAAACGGCGAGTCTGTCACTAGTAAACCAGAAACCTCACGTTATGTCGGTTTTAAGGCTTGAATAGAGGTGGAGATACGATTTGGCAAGTATCAAAATATTAGGTGTTGTGTCGTTTATTGAGTTTTCTCTAAACAGATTCACTAACACCTGATTTTTGCCCTTACTTTATTTCAGACGCACGAAAGATAAGTTTTTTTATTATTGATTTTTAGTCTTTTATACATTTTACAATGTTCATCTAATTATGCTATTTTTGAAATTTCGATTTAGACTACTTCTACCAAACATTCTTAGATTCTAGTACATATGTTTTACTTTATAACTGTTTTCTATTTTTAACTTTAATAGTTTACTAATATTTCCTTATTCTATTACTTATTTACCGCCTATGATTTTCATCCTGCCATTCTAAAACCTTGATTTTACCGTTCATATACTCTTTCCCTTTTTGGCTATATGAGCTTATCATTCGATTATTTGTTTATTGGGGCACTTTATGCAAGTTTCATGCATTCTTGATTCGGATGCGATTACATGCATTGATCGTTGATCTTTTGTAGGATCACGGGTCCTAGGTCACGATCCTTAGGTCACGTTTCTTTTTACCTCTAACACTATTTAATTGTTAAACTAATTTTACTTGATAAAAATATAAATGAGAAATTAATTAATAAATTGATTGATAGTATTTAATTGATTAAATAAAAAAAGCCTCTAAAGATACTTAATATTATGTAAAAACCTAAATTAGTATAGTCTAATAAAACGCTACAAAATAATTCACAATATTTTGCAATACTTTTGAAATATTTCAAAACCAATAAGGTATTTCTATCACAATAATAAGCCTATTTAATGATAAAACTAATAAGAAAAGGCTTTGAAGATATTTAATTAAATATGATATTATGTAAAAACCTGATATTATATAGTGAAAGCTTTATAGACAAAGTTCCGTTTATTAAAAGGTTTTAAAACTTCAAGTTGCTAATCCGGCCATAATATAAAAATCAAAAATATATTAATATGGCCTAAGATAACTTGCACAATATTTTGCAATATTTTACAATATTTTAAATATATTGAAGTCAATTCGAAATATTGCAATTATTTACATATTATTACCCAATCATGATTAACTTGCACCCACCTGGTTATAGAGTATATAAGCAACAATAATTAGTTATTTTTTAATTTTTTAATTTTTTATATAAGGTAAAGAGGAGTATTATGATACAGGTAACTTCTACGGTCAATATCACGTGATCTAGTGATCAGAATCGAGCGATTTTGGTACCATTCGATTCGTCTCA